TTACGAGACCCGCGGGACGATATGGGGTATTGGATACACTTACGCTGCCACTACACGGTACATGCACCGCATGTACCGTGCGTGCAGCACGGTACATGCGGTAATATGCACGTACATACTCATACATTATACTTTGGTGTAATGCATGAATATTTGTACTAAAAAGGAACGTTGAAATATTTACAAATAGACTTTTGGGAAAAATACTAAATATATATTTGTACTATTGAATAAATAGCCGTAGTTATCAAACTTCCTATTGAGTGCGAAATGGCAATGTAAGAATATCCACTACTCTATTTTATTCTGTGGGTGTCGTGAAAGACGACAAAGAGAAACAAATCAGGAGATGCGCAGCAGGTGTTTTCCTAACAAAAACTTTAAAAAAAAAAACTGCGCTTGCCAGCCCATGTTCAGCAATAAACTTATAATAGGCTGAAGTGGTAGATTTTAAATCCACTACTACGTGTCTTTTACTATGCATGTCCTGTACTGGATGACCTTTTTTACCGTCTGGAAAAAAATAGGGTGTAATATGTGAACGGAGTAGAAGCCTATAACAGTGATATTTTACAAAAAATAAAAACAAAAATTTTGAATTAAATAAATAAATTAATTAAAACCTATCGAAATTCAAATCATTTCCACCCTACTTTACAAAAGGCAATAAAACAATATATTTAGTAGGCATTTTTGACCTTGTCATTTTACAGGGTCACAGGCTCAAGGGCAAAGGGCGAAGTAATTGTTAAAAAAAAATTAACGTTTAATTCGAAATTTTTGTTTTTATTTTTTGTTCCATAGGCGTCTACTCCGTTCACATATTGCATCCTATTTTTATAGGCGTTATAAAACTAAGTACCGGTGACGTTAACGGATACTTCCTATACATATTATTTACGCTCAAATTTATGTCGAAAGCTAGTGCTAAAATGCAAATGTCTTTTGATTTTTTTGATTGGTGTATCTAATGATCACGAGGCTCGATTTCAATTCTTAATAACAAAAGTTCGGGAATTACTCACTGTGAAGACAAATTACGAAATTATATCAAACAAGAGTTATTTCACTTTATTTATCAATATAAAAAGAAGTGGCTAGATGTTTCAAGAAATAACTGGCTAAATACATCTATCAATTTCCATTTGCAAGAAAGAGAAAGAATCTCTAGTGAACCTACGGGAAGGCCGCAAAAAGATTGTGTTATGCAGTGAAAGGTCAAACCGACGAAAAACTCAAGAATTAAGAAATAGTACAGGTACATTGGAGTTGACATATGCAGCTGAAATAAAGTTCAGATTCGAAGGTAATGTTCAAGCTGCAAAACTTTTAGCTGACATTGCTATAAGCCCTGACACAGCGAAAAATTATATTAAGAAAGATGATGTTGAGATTGCAAAGCTAACAGAAGACAAAGCACTGTATTTACTTACTAATGCTAAACTAACTAAATATCAGTGTAATATTATTAGGAGTAATGCCCTTGAAGAAAATTGTCACCTATATCCCATTTACGAAAGCATAATAAAGGCAAAAAACGCTGCTATCCTGATAACATCCCTATAGCTGAGAGTTCAGCAGAAGTATCTCTTCAGGATCTCGTCGATCATACACTAAAAATGTTAGCTATATCACTGTGACGTACTTTCTAGAGTAGAAGAAAGTAAACATGTAGCTCATAAGTAAATGGGGCTGTGATGGTACTTCCGGCCAGGCTAAATACATATGAGCAGTTATTTGAAAATGCAGATATATCTGATGCTTCTATTTTTATTTCATTTTTGGTACCTGTACAAATAATTTGTGGAGATCCCCATGATAAACATGAAATAATTTGGCAAATTCAACGTCCTACACCACCGCGGTATTGCAGACCTATAAAGTTAGAATTCATACATGAAACAACTGAAGTATTACAAAACGATACAAAGTATATTGAAGAACAAATTGAGACTTTAACAAGTACAAATCTGGTAATTATTGAGAGAAATAATTCTATTTAACCCCATTTAGTTATGACAATGATTGATGGAAAAGCAATAAATGTAATTACACATTCTGGTTCCAGTCAAAGATGTAACTTAGGCGGTATCACAGCAAAAGATTTGAATAAACTGAACTATTGTTCAAGTAAACCTATTATAGATGAACAACGATTACTACTGGGACTTCCATCACTCCATTGCTGGATCAGATTTCATGAATGGATGTTAAACTTGTCTTACAAATTAAAACTGTGTAAATGGCAAGCGAGAGGATAAATCTAAAGTAGAATTAGGGAAAAAAAGAGTGCAATTTAAATCTAAACTGGAAATGTTACTAGATCAGCCTTAACATGGCTACGACTATGACATGGATATGACTATGAAATATCAGCAATTATGAAACATCTGCAGAAATAACTGGCAAATGCAAAAATCTGATTTATAGACTGGATAATATTGATGACAATGTCTAGTGGGCTAGCAATAAATGAAGAAAAATTCAAAATACATATATGCTCTGAAAACTGCTGTGCTCTAGTTAAAATAGTATCCATGGTATATGCCGACTACCATTCACAGAATATTAATTCATGGACATATGCAAAACAGAATGCAGTAGTTCCCATAGCCCACTTATCTGAAGAGGCCCAAGAAAGTAAGAACAAAATATTAAGATATATCGTGACGGTTTTACCCGAAAATTCTCCAGAAAACAAACTGCGGAATTTTTTTAATCAGCTTTTAATATCTTCAGATCCACACATTACAGGTATCAGAAAACTACCACAAAGACAAGTAAAGTCCTATCTCTTCTTTCTCACAATGTTACTGTTATATGTTATATAACAGTAACATTGTGAGAAAGGAGAGATTGTGAGCTATGTTAATACTCTTATAAGAACCTCAAGTTATGATTAAAATTTGTACTTTCTTTTTTGTTTTCTTATATATTATGGTATCAATAAAGCTTTTATTTTCATAATGCACATTTAAACTATTATTTAAGACTAACTACAGCAATATACAGGCGTTAACATACTTAATGTAATATTGGCCAAGTTTTCGATAAATTTCATCTGTGTGGCACCGCCAACGTTCATGTGAGCTTGCACTGACAAAATATTTACAGAAAAACATCATGTTTAAGTTATCCACTGGTTTCTGACAATGCATCGAATCGCGTTTGCATAGTCAATCAATATGTTGCAGTATCACCTTATCGCATGAAACATATTTAAAAACAATTAGCAACGCTATTAACATAATTATTTCCCTTTAACCACTCCTGGCAAGCTAAAAATGCTTGTGTTAGGAGTGGTTCACCAATTAGTCGAATGGCGGGTTCGAACCTACGACCTTTTGTGGTCGCTTCAAAATGTTTATGTATTTAACGCGAAAGAAATGTTAGTTGAAAGATTGTCATATTGAAAGATAAATTTGTTGAAATCTTAATTTACAGTCACTTCTATAACCTAATAAGCAAGTTATGAAGTTTTATTTTTTTTATCAACCAGTACTATAAATTTAGAACAGCGAAATTTTAGAAAGTCGTGGTTCTGGACGCGCAACTTTAAAAAAAATAGGGACATTTCGTGGTGCTTACAGTTTCTTCAAGTGCGAGTTGCTCATTCAAGATTAAAAACATTATTTTAGGATTTCACTTGAAGATTTGAAATATTATCGGCGAAAGTGGTGCCAATCATTCAGCTAAAACCAACAAACTTCAAGCAATCTATTCCAGCCATAAATTAGTCACTACTTTGCGGTTCTCAGCATCCGGAGGTTCATATTCATCACTTATGTATTTATGCAGAACATCAAAAAACAAAATAAGCAAACACATACATGAAGATTGTTAAGTAATTGTACAATGTAAAAGTAAGTCAAACAACTAAATTTTGAATAATTTCTTTATATTAACATCACTTTAAATTTCAACCAATTATTAATCACATTACCATAAAACAATCGCTATTTATCAAATCCTAGCGATCCGCCTCGGCTTCATACGGGTGATTAGAATCTCGACAACTACTTCACCTATCAGTTCCGATTGTAATCTAAACCATCCAGAGACTTACTCAACTTGAAATGCACGCACAAAATTTCTTCACAATACTTGAATTTTATTTATAGAGATTATTTTAAGAATCACAGCTTTTAACTTTTTGGTTTTGTGTGAATATAATAAACAAAGCATCATCATCATTACATCTTTTCAGAAGTCCATTGCTGAACATAGGCCTTTCCCAAGGAATGCCACAAAGCACAGTCTGAAGCCACTTGTATCCATTGACTTCCTGCATGTCTTAACAGCTCATCACTCCCTCTAGTGGGGGCCGCCCTACACTTCACCTAAAGATACGAGGCTTAACTCTTTCTGCCTTATGGTCGGTTCTTTGAGCAATATGGCCAGTTCATTGCCACTTCAGCTAACTAATCCGTTGGGCTATGTCGATTAATCTGGTTCTACTGCAGATATCCTCATTTTTAAGTCTATCACACATAGAAACCCTGAGCATAATCATAGCATCCATAGCTCGCTGAGCAACCTTGAGCTTCCTTATATGACCAGCAGTGAAGGACCACATCTCAGATCTATAAGTCATAACTGGCAACACACACTGGTGCAATCTTGTTTTCAAGTATTGAGATATACCTGATGTAAAGATGTGTCGTACTACCACTGCCACTGCCCAGCCGAGTTAAATCCATAGATTAACCTCTCTGTCGAATTTGGACTTACTTAGTCGGACCATTTGTCCCAGGTAAACATACTCATCAACAACTTTGAGCGTAGTTTCCAAACATCTACCAGCAATAATAAGAATATCTTTTGTAATAAACAATTATTACAAAAAATATTCATAATTTGCAGCTTATATCATAAACAAGTTAAAAAAGTTATAGGTACTTATTAATCTGTTATTCAATAGTGATATTATTGTAAATATCATCAGTTGTATCCCGCACTTGCACATAGTGTACCAGTACCTTCATTTGTCTTTTTTTTCTTCAATCCTCTTCAAAGGGAGGTTGAGATATAATATATTCAGGCTCTAAAATTCTTAACTTCGTATGAAATATTAGATCCATTATATCTTTTTTTAGAATTAACAATTCTCTTTTATTTTTTATATCCCTTAATTCACTTGCTATTGTATCTCCAAAAATAGAAAAGCTATCTTTTTTTTGCTTAACAATGTTAGCATTTGATGCACCTTTTAACAAATTTAATGTGCCCAACTGAGCATCACATTTCCTTTTTAAAATGAATCTGGGCTGGGATTGCCTTTGAGAGAAAGATAAAGTAGGTTCTTCCCTACTTTTGTTTTCAACTGTTATACCTTCTAGCTTACTTTCAGTCTCCGTAATCTGCAATAAAGTAAAAATTATTTATTTTGTGATTTTAAACACATAAAAGTACAATTAATGGAAATAATTTGTAAATGATTTTGAAAATTACTGAATTTTTCCACTTCATTATTATATACATAGTGCACCTAGCACTAGACGAAGAACAAAATAAAATTTTAAGATTACACAATAATTAAGATATTGTATGAATAATTTTATAATTGTATTTTATAGAATAAGGGTGTCCCCAATGTGGACTAAGATAAAATGTCTAGTTGCCAGTAAAAAGAATCTTGAGTTCTCTACACTCATCATACAAAACACAACAGCATCAAGCTTGAATCAACCCATTTGTGCTACAACCATTATATAGCTACAGTGTGCAGTACAACATACAATGATTTCTCCCATGTCTTGTAAGTTTTAAGCAACTGTGAAATAATCATGATTCGATCTTGATTAAACCATAGTATTCATGTTTTTCAACAAATTAGATTCTATTTTTACGGAATACAAAAAGGACGAGGTATTTAACTCAACTGTATCTTTTTTAATATGTGCGTTACCTCATAACTATTATCAGGTTAAACCAATTTTGATTATTCTTATTATATTAAACCAATTTTGAAAGCTGGTGCTTCTTGTGTGGTCCTATATAAATTTAATCAAGATCTGACCAGTAGTTTTTGAGAAACCTTTAGTAATGCGTATTTATTTGAATTCGAATTCATTGGTTTGGTCTTATTGAAGTCGATTGTACAAAATTTTTAATTTTACCACTTGTTTAAATTAATAAACATCTTCAGGAACACAATAACATATACAAAAGTTCAAAAATATCTAAAGTAATTACAAGGTAAAGTAGTATACTGATAAAATATAAAATCTACTTACCAATAATGAATTCGTCCTAGGATGTGGTCCATTAGCATCGTTCAAAAAATGCAAATACTCAAAAGCATACCAATTAGAATGAGTTTTCTCATCTAGTCCAGCACCAGATTTTGTTTTTAATTTATTTAATTCTCTTTTATATTGGGTCTTTAAAGATAAAATCTTCTTCTCAATAGCATTAGTGCTTACATTCATTCGATGGGCCATATTTAAAAAAGCAGTACGGCGCTTTTGCCTGTTTTTATAAGAACTAATTTTATTATTCCATAAACATGGATACTTTTGCCAGTGCTCGATAAATTTTAACGTATTTGTTTTTGTCCATTCCATGATAACAATAAACACAATCTCCAAAACAAATCGCGAGACATGAACAATCTCTAGTATATACACATTAATCTATGAACAACAATGCAAAACTGCTGCGAAAGTGCGAAAGTTGACACTGTATTAGTAATCTATGGTTGACATTGATGGAACCAGTGTGACCAGATTAAATTTTACGAAAATACCGAGGCACCTAAAAAAACTGTAAAATATACCAATCGACTTACACAGGGCAAATATATCAATAAAATACTGATTTTCTTAACATGTTTTATTTATTTATCATCACATTCATTAATTAAAAAGTAATTCGTACACAAAAGTATTTTACGTACCTATTTACCTATTCGTATAACTAAAAACATAAAAACAGACCTTCTCTTCCTTCTTTGGAAAATAATAGATTATTTGTAGTATAGTTTAACAATTCTGCTACGGAGGCCGCCTGTCATATTCTATCTGTAACTTATTGATCTTAGCTCCTAAATAAAGTGTAGATTAAATCGGAGAAATTCCCTGAACATCAATGTCATACATTAATTTCCATACTGTTTACACTTGTACAGAATTTTTGTGTCTGAGTAGTGTATATTAATATAAGGGTACGAATTATTGAGTCCAAGCTGATATGCAAACAAGTTAGTGATGCTCGGTCAGCATGGATAAAAGTCGTGCAACCGCTTTGCTACTATTGTGATAAAAAATGAACTCGAAAGGAAGAAAATTTCTCCAAGTCCAAGTCCAAGAGAATTTCTGTCAGTCATCTCTTCCATCTTTGCACAGAGAGGAGACTCACTGGCCCTTGCCGCAAAGAAGAAAGCCATTCTGTTAGGCTCTTTCTTTGTGTCCAACTCGACTTTTGATGACGGGGGGAGATTCTCGAGAACACCACCAACCATCCCACGGTGTGAGTCCTCCATGCCGGATGTGCGATTTACACAGCGCTCGGTTCACAAAGCACTCTTCTCCCTGGACGTCAGCAAGTCGACTGGGCCTGATGGAGTCCCTATACCCATTTTGCTGAAGAGTTGGCATTGGTTTTAACGCGTCTTTTCCGGTACTCCTGCTCTCAAGGCGTATTCCCGAATTCATGGAAGACAGCTTTGTCCCACCCAATCCCTAAATAAGGTGACCGCTCAGACCCGTCTAACTACAGGCCTATTCCTATGACCTCCTTGTTGTCCAAAATAATGGAGTCCATTATAAACTGCCAGCTCATGAGGTACCTTGATGATCAGTAGCTAATAAGTGACCGCCAATAGAGGTTTAGTCGTGGTCGATCAGCTGGTGACCTTCTCGTCTACCTGACTCATAGATGGCTAGAGGCAGTAGAGTTCAATGGGGAGGTATTGACCGTTAGTTTGGAGCGAAGGCCTTCGATCGGGTCTAGCACAAAGCGCTTCTTGCGAAGCTCACTTCCTATGGGCTTCCCGAGAAATTGTGCAATTGGATCACTAGTTTCCTTGCTGATCGGAGCATCAAGTTCGTAGTAGACGGTGCATTCTCTGATTACAAGCCTATAAACGCTGGTGTTACACAAGGCTGTGTGTTATTTACCAACGCTGTTTCTTCTGTATATCAATGATATATTGCAAACTGGTAACGTTAATTGCTATACAGACAATAGCCCTGGTGATGCCTTGTACACCGGTCGTGCCGATATTTTTCGGGAACATCACTTGCAACTCCATAAAGCGCAAGTTTGGCTTCTCATAGAATACTGATCTCATATCTGGGCCAGGGCACCCCAGTACCAGCTCCTTCCACTACCAGCGCAGAGCAGTTCAAATGGTCGACAACCGCGTTATTTCCGATCGGTTTGATTCACTGGCGCTGCATAAAGATGTTGCATCCCTTTGCATTTTCTATCGTATCTACAACGGGAAGTTGTCTGAGGTATTGTTCGGATTAACCCCATTCGCCAAATTTCACGAACGCACAGATGAACATGCTTGGCGGTCCACCACTGTGCGGTTTACTAGTTTTCTTCCCCATACAGCTTCTCTGTGGAATTGTTTACCACCGGTGATTTTTCCGGACCAATACAACTTAGGTACCTTCAAAGAAAATAGCTTACTCCTTTTTAAAAAGCCGGCAACGCACCTGCAATTCCCCTGGTGTTGCGGTTGTTCATGGGCGGTGGTAGTCACGTACCATCAGGTGAGCCGCATGTTCGTTTGCCCCCTCTTCTATGAATAAAAAGTTCTCCGGTGATACTAGCATCTGTGATCGAAGTTCGGTTTGGAGGACATTACTGCAAATAAAGGTCCTAAAAATGTATTCGCATTATATTTCACATTACAATCTTGAATAGAAAATTGCTATGAATAGACTTTTCTTGTCATTAGTTTTTTAGCTTCTTACATCATCTAATTGGCACGTTCTATAATGCATATTTGGTTTTTTAACAATTCTATAAACGTAATGATTTCTTATATTTACGCAAACACTACACATGATTAAAACTACTTTTACGGATTTTATCGCGTTTATTTTTGCTTTTAATTTAATGTGAAGCATCAACGTTTCGGGAAGTCTGCAGTTTGTGATCATATCCTAGACGGCCCCAACCATTACATCAGATTTGATAGACCACAAATCCTCGCGAAAGAACACCGATTCCTACCAAGGATGATACGTGAGGCTATTGAAATTAAAAAACATCCTAATTTCAATAGAGAAGGAGGCTGGGTACTACCACCTGCTTGGGATCCTATAATCAATAAAATTAAAACTAAACCCAAGCATACCACTGCAAGACCTCAGGACATAGTCAGTTCATTTTGCATAGATCGGACCATAAACAATAATTAAAAAAGCTGAAGGTACTCCGGGTTTAACAATGACATCGGGACGTCAGTCATCTTAGTCCCCCGTGACCATGGGTGCTGGAAAGCGCCCGAAACGTCGGTAATTAAAAATAAAATTAAAAGCAAAAATAAACGCGATAAAATCCGTAAAAGTAGTTTTAATCAATTCTATAAACGGTTAATGACTCCTTTAGTAAAATTAAAAGCAATCTTAATAATAAAATATAAATGTAACCGTTTTATTTGACATTTGAATTTCTTTCATTTGACAATGTCAATGATATTACGAAAAGTAAACAGAAAAGATAACTGCCATTACTACTGCCTGTTGTACATTACTGCCTGTTCGCAAGGACGATCGCCACGGTGCTACCATAACTTCCTATATAAAATATACCAAAAACACTGAATTTCGGCTATATATATATATATATATATATATATATATATATATATATATATATATATATATATATATATATAACAAAATACAGGTAGATCGATAAAAACACTAAAAAAGTATTAAAATACTGAATCTGGTCACGATTGAAAGGTCTATAGGTCCTTCTCTCTAACCTCCATGGGTCTATAGATACATAATGTTGCCAACTTAGTGGATTTTCCACTGAAATCGATGATTTCGACTTCAATTTAGAAATATAGCTTTTAATGGCCGGTGGTTTTATCCAGTGGTTCAGTAGAATTAAATTTTAATTAATAGAAAAACATGGGGGGGGGGACAGTTCCATAATAAGGCATTTGGACATAGAAAGTAGCGCCATCAAGTGTATGGTACGGGTTATAATTTCCTCAGTTTATGTAATATTAGTTAGTCAAATCATCATCATCATCATTACAGACCTTCACAAGTCCACTGCTGAATATAGGCCTCACCCAAGTAACGCCACAAAGCACGGTCCTGAGCCACCTGCATCCATCGAATTCCTGCATGTCTTACCAGGTCGTTACTCCATCTAGTGGGGGGGTCGCCCTACACTACACCTACAGGTACGAGGCTGCCACTCGAGAACCTTTCTTCCCCATCGGTTATCGGTTCTTCGAGCTATATGGCCGGCCCATTGCCACTTCAGCTTACTAATCCGTTGGGTTATGTCGGTCACTCTGGTTTTACTGCGGATATCCTCATTTCTGAGTCTATCACGCAGAGAAACGCACTGAAAGCGGTTACGTAACTCGAGCTGAAAGGTTTCGGGATTCTGGATTAGAGCACGCGGGGGACGGAGCGTTGACTTCATTGGACGAGACCTCTCCAACTTAACGTTTAGGTTCAGTGTGGCTCTAACCATTCGGTGATCGCTGCCAGTTTTCACCCTTGCGATCACTGAGACATCACTGAACAGTTGGCGTCTGGTTGTCAATGAAGTCAATCTCATTTTTTGTCGAACCGTCAGGGCTCTACCAGGTCCACTTCCTGTGGGGCCGCTTCTGGAAGAAAGAGTTCATCATAAAGAGTCCCTCTTTCTCCATAAAGTCGTCCAGCTGCTGGCCCCTTCGGTTCCGTTGCCCTACTCCAAATTTCCCTACCTTCAGCTCACCGCTTTCTCTTGTGCCTAGTTTTGCGTTGAAGTCTCCCATCAACACCGTGTAGTGGGTTTTGGAGGAATGCATGGCTCTGAAAATATCCTAATACATTTCCTCCATCTCCTCATCGGGATGTGCCGAGGTTGGTGCGTAAACCTGTATGACCTTCAGCGAATACCGTTTGGTGATTCTGAGTATCAGGCACGCGGCCCTCGTCGACACACTCCCAATCTTTACAACGTTGTTGACGAGAGACTTGTGGACGATAAATCCGATACCTCCTTGGGACAGACGGTCGCCCTCCCGGTGATAGAACAAGGTGCCGTATTCGAGGACTACCGTGTCCTCCCCCTCTCTTCGGACCTCGGATAATCCAATAATATGCCAGTGCAACTTGTCTACCTCTTCTTCCAGCTCCAGTATCTTCTCGTCAGTCCTCAGGGTGCGTGCGTTATATGTTACCAGGTCGCGGTGGCAACCGAATCTCCACCGGAGATTCTTAGCACCTAAATATATCCCCCCATGAAT